AACCCTCAAACCTTAATAACTTCAAATCTAATGATAAAAAATGAAATAGATGGTTATGATAATCCAAAGATTTCTAGCTAATTTCACCGACATCTTCCCTGAAAAACTCACTTTTTCAAGTAGTATGAAACTGAAACTCTAGAACATTTGAATTAGTTTGTCTATGGTTTACAAATAGCGGAAGTTAAAAGGAAAGTACCCGAATTATCAATATCGAGTTTCCGGGATGAACTCCTGTTAAGATGTGTGCAATTTCATGTACTGGGCTTCCATTAGACAGAACATCCCACTGGAACATGAAATGTTGATAAGTTTTCACTTTATCAAGGGAACAAGAAACAATCAAGTAAAAGAAGTGTGTGGCATTACAAACCTGAACTCTGGCCTTTTCATCCTTGAAAAAATTGAAGATGCTTTCAGGTTGTAGAGGAAGCCAAAGGGATGTTGCTGCACTAACGATTGTCCCACTGGGCTGCCCCAGCTCGGAGCTAATCCGAACAGAGATTCGAACACCGCTGTTGTTCACTTCGGATAGCTGGGGGAAATCTAATTTACCTGACATGCTCAGTACGCCACAGAAATTTTTTACCATTCTATGTGACAGCTTCATGATGCTCCTCCTACCTTCATTAGAAGTTAACACTGAAAAACAAACGTTTTCGCTAGAGATCGAGTTTGATGAAAAGGGAATAACATTTTTATCACAAGCGAAAGGTGAACTTCTACCTCCTCCAAGTTCATGGCTAGGTGCACAATCCCTGAATGTGTAAGCCAATCTCTCACACATCCTTTGAAGAGTGAAAACCCATCGTTCAGCTCCATATGCCGTAGTATTGAACACAAGATCCCGATAAAGCCGGTGGGTTTGTGTTTTATCATCCACTTCCACATGCTCGACCCAGGTAACCTGTCAACGAAGATGTATGATAACAAGATACAAGTGCATTGTTGAAGGAAAAAATGGCTGCTACTGCAATAAACTAAATTCAGCCAACCTCGAGTGACCTATATAAGTGACGATAAAGTAGCACATAAATAATTCATAACGATCTCTAATACACATCAAATGCATGGATATTTCTTCCATGGCATAACAATTATGTCGTAATAGAAGGACGTTGACATGGCACATATTCATGCCTCATTCAATAGAGTACCTTCCAAGGAAAATAATTAGCGTAGAACACAAGGGGAACAATGAAGTTAATGCCAAGGCCGGGATTTCATGGATATTAATGTTGACAGTGGCATCTAATAATCTTTCATATGCAATTTTGCGGTCACTAAGGTCCAGCAGCATTAATTAAAGCCCCAAGATCCATGAAAGAAGGGAAGAGATGAATTATTAATTAAACGAGTTACGAACCTTAGAGCAACCATTGGGCATTTCTTGAATCATGCACCCAGAAGGAAGCCTCCAGCAGCGGGCAGATGTGACACAATCCTTTAAAAATTCATATGAAACGTCCACTATTACCCAGACACCATGCTCGATCTGCTGACAATGTCGAAGGAAGCAGAAATCTCGAGGCGACACGAGCGGTGAAAATATGTGCATTTGTTGATACATCTGCATTTATTAACTTTCATTATCTACCAAGTTGTGCAGAAATAAAACGCCAAACATAAACAAAGAAAAAAAATGTGGAACATGATTTTCGTACCAACTGCAAAGCGCCACTGCGATTTCCAGGCATCCCGGGGTCAATAATATGAAACGTCTCTGCATTTATAATGACAGTTGGAAAAAGATCCGCCCATTTATCCTATGTAATCGAATCAATTGCCAAAGTAAATATCTCTCCAAGAGTGGAAACAACAGTCAACTTTTACTAGGTATAACAGAAATTATTAGCTATCAACACTGACCGCATCTAGAAAAGCATCAACCAATTGCATTGCACTCATTGTCACCACTCCTGAAGCTTTCGAGGATTCAGTACGAGCGTTAGAAGATTTGAAGTGATTGGGTCTAGGAAATATTTTTTCATAGCTGTCACGGTGAAGAACACACCTCCCGTCATTGAGGATCTTCATCCACAAAGGCTCATCGATCCTCAAAAGTCTGATTAACTCTTCCAAGGCAGTTGCAGCAGTTTCCATCATGAGAGCGTTTTCCAAATCATTAATACCTCTTGATTGGTAGGGTGTTGCTGTTCTATCTAATATTACAGGATCAGACATAAGATTCACTGCAGGACTTGGAACTATTTGGGTAAGGGAACTTCTCGGTGACAAATCGAGTGAAGATCCAAGAACAGGCAATAGTGACTCAAGTTGTGATATCGGTTTTCCAATGTACTTGGCAAGAAGGTTAGACACTTTTTCATGCTGCAAAACGATCATAATCAAAACCATTGAAGTTGATGGATCCATATTACGAAAAGATACTAAATCATTGACAATTCAACATTGTTAGGAGAAAACATAAACAGACTTTCAACTTCCAAACATGAAAATTACCTCTTCTTTCAAGTGAGCATTTTCAAGACGCAGTTTATGGAGATTGCGCTGCCGTTCTTCTTCGCCAAATGGTGGACCGCCACAGGATGGACAGATGACATTCCTCAATGCTTCTCTAATTGCAAGATTTTCACATTGAATCTTTTCATTCTCCGTCCGAAGCGAAGAGTTGTCTGCTCGCTCATTCTGAGTCTGTAAGAGGGGAAGAATGAGTCTCAATTGATGGGAAAATAAGAACAAACAAACAACTTCCTTACAAGCCTGAGAAGATTCATTCTACCTTCGTTTGAGTCCTCTTGTTTTGAAACCAAAATTTGATCTGTTTAGTCTCAAGACCAAGCTCTCGACTCAGCTGGCGCCGCTGATTTTCATCAGGGTGTGGGCATGCCCTGAAAAATCTGGAAAACAGACAGAAACAATTCGATTTGTCTTAGAAGGACACACATGCATGCATAGGCAAACAAGGAGACATCAGATCGTTGAGACCAAGATCCCTGCAGACATCATTTGTAAGACTTGAGAGAAGGATCAAACATGTGAAGTTTTGTATAGTTCTAAGGGAATGTCCAAAAGAGTTAAACAGATTCAACATGCAGCTTCAGAAAACACCAACAGGATACAAGGACAGGCCCACAAGAACACATAAACACAAGGGAGGCAACAAAATTCTTCCCAGTCTGTGAAATGAGCAGACAACGACAAAGGAATCACAAAGAACATACACAGAAAAGAAGGTGAGAGAGGTCTTACGATTCAAGTTGCTGAATCTGGTAAGGATTATGACGATGGTAAGTCTTTTTCCCCTTGCGATCATTAGAAGCTTCTTGTTCATCACCTGACCCACCGCCATAACTCCCACGACCTTCCATCATAAAATCCATCCTGACCAACCAGTAAGAGATATACACTAAACGGAAGAACTAGAACTTGAAATTCCCACAAACGGGAGCCGCGAAAACTTTTAGTAGCGCAGCCTGTACTCGTTTGAAAACAACATTGAAAATCACAGACAGGATAAATAGAATGCATAGCATCCATCCAGTGAGGGTCGAGTCCAATTTCCAAATAAGGATACCAAATCAACACCAAAACAAACGCAATAAATGGAGAGATATCCCTGAGTTGGGTATTGGATTTGGTACTTTTCGGGGTTAATTGGTATATGCAACACACTCTCTCTCTCTTTTCCTCTGGCAAAGTTCTTGCAGATTTCAGCGAGAAAAAGTGAAACCAATGAAGTCCACTTGTTCACTCGACAGAAGAAAACATCCAAAAAGCGTCGAAAAAGAGGGAACGGGAGAGAGAAATTGAATTCCAGAGAGAGAAAGTACCAAATGCAGAGAGGGAGCCAATGGAATGAGAGGAAGGACGAAGAATCTGAGGTTGATTCCCCATGCTACGTTGTTGAACTTCAATTTCCTGTGAATCATTTCGTATCGCACTGCTAAAAACAACAATTGAAGAGAAGATAATGACGAAAACGAATTGAGGAATCCAAAATAGTAAAGAAAAAGATCAATGATTCTTTTCTTTTGCTCTTTCAAGCTCCGGATTGTGTCAGAAAACTAAGAAATTCTTCACCAACACGAATCACAACTGGAATTTTGGTCTCGGTGGGAAATAGGAGCTTATTCAATTCAGGGTCAGACGTTTGAAATGCTAGAAATGGTTGAAATGGAAAATTTTGATATTCAAATCTTCGCCTTTTCCCTTTTCTTCCTGTTTCCTTCAATTTGCTTTTTTGTTGCATCAATCATTCACCATTTCTAATGCAAATTATTCTAACTTTCATTCATTTTCTTTCTTAAAACTTTAATTCAATCATTCAAAATTTTAACCTAAAATAAAAAATATATATATAAGCATTTGAGAACGATTCTTAAGCTAACATAATTCTCCTTTAAATTTACACGAAGATGAATGCAATTCTGACTTACGATCAACGAAATGATTTAATACGTTTTTTTTACGTTATTTATGTACAAGACGACAATAGAATTAAATTACATCCAAAATGAGCGACCCAATAGAACGTCGGTCATAGATTTTTTTCAGTATTGATGTATAACAAATCATTACTATAAAAATTGATACTTTTCGATTTATGAAATGAATAATAAAGAGTTACAGAGTATAAATTGTTTTGAAACTGTCTCGAAGCAACTGATCATATAGAACAGTAGTTATATTACTTCATATTACTTTCAACTACTTACAACTACATAAACATTTACTACCGTTTATTCAAATTTTTTGATTTCTCGATAGTAGACTAATATTATACTATCTTCAAACATTTAAATAAATCAAGGTGAACATCTTTCAAATGTTTAATATTTTAAAGTTTTCTTAACAACTAATTTAGTATAATCAAACAATTGTCTGTACAGGCAGGCATCGAGGTGCATACAGGCTGGCTCGAGCTTAGCAAAGCTTGTGAATATAAAATAACAACAAATTGAGTTTTGAGCTCAAATTAACTCGTAGTGTTTGCCTTGTGTTAAGTGTTATACTTAGTATGTTTTACTTTTCTTGTTTGCTTTGGAGCTTAGTGTATCAAAATGATGAACAGCTTGTAATGGTCCAAAATGCACTAGAGACGTTAAGAAAACATGAACTTTACATGTGAGAGATTTTACAAGCTGCTACACTCAGTCTAATCCTCACCACACCTACCTTATTTGAACCATTTTACAAGAGGTGAGACATTAAGATTGGAAGGAAGAACGTTTTTAAAGGGTAACAGAGAATGTTTATACTTTTTAAGTTTGTGCTTAAAAGTATTGTGGCATGCGACCATGGACAACAACCCTAGACGAGTATGACTGTAAAAAGTTATATGCTACTTGAGTTAGTGTGAGTCAAGTGTGTTGCCTTTTGCTTGTATGTCATATAACATTGCTTTCGGTCTCTTTCAATCTTTGCTTTCAAACTCTTTCAAAATCTCTCTACCCGTTTTCTAAATTTTTCTTTTTAAATCAAGGCAAGAGGCTTGAGCATATGTTACCCGGCCGTAAGCGACGCGTGTATTGGCTTGACGCATTTGTTGTTGAGAGGTGAGTACCACACAATCGCAAAGTACGCTGCCATGAAAAATGCGATTATGACAGTTGCACGACTACCATGGCAAAATAAGCTAAGATTGTGGTAGTAATGCCAACAAGTAAAACAAAAGGATCATAAGCAGTAGCTTGAACGGTATACATTCGGAGCCTTGTGGTATTCCAATTGCTCTGTCCAAACAGAATCGACAGCCCCCAGCGGGTCTGATGAATTTGGAGGAAGCACATTCCAAGATCCAGATTCAAACTTCAATCTTGTTGAGTATGCCGGAACGTACCTGCAACAAATAACTACAGATATTTAAAAAGAGAAGGACGCCATTTTACAGGGTATTGTTTGCAGTGTACCTACTATGCAAGTTTAATAAGAAAAAACCTAAGAGTATAGTATGGGGTTGCTCGGATTGGATGTGGAAGCAATCAGCCATGAAACAAACCGAGCTTTTCCATATGACCATCCATGGAAAAAATTACACATAAGTTTGGCAACGTTATTGAATTTAGTTTAATTGGAGTTCTTTTTATTCCCTAGTGAAATGAAAGAACCTCGTTATAAATGGTATCAGAGCCAGACACCAGACAATATGCTAGCAAGGAGGCTGAGCCTCGAAAGGGAGTGGACAAGAGGCGGTGTGCCAGAAAGGACACTGGGTCCCGAAGGGCCCCTATCGATTGGAGAAGAGAACGAGTACCAGCGAGGACGCTAGGCCCCAGAGGAGGGTGGATTGTGAGATCTCACATCGGTTGGAGAGGAGAACGAAGCACTCTTCATGAGGGCGTGGAAACCTCTCCCTAACAGACACGTTTTAAAAACTTTGAGGGGAAGTCCGAAAAGAAAAGCTCAAAAAGGACAATATATGTGGGCTTGAAATGTTACATTTTTCAACTCTAGTTTTGATGCAATATCTAAGTATGCCATGTGTTCAACAATACACGTAGCGGTACCTGGTAGGCTGGTAGTAGATATAATACAAGTTCCCTTTCCAGTCTCCACTCTAATGCACACCTCACTTTTGTCATCACAATTCTGTGAACAGACTGAGCTAGTATTCTCTTTAGGAATAGATGTTCTGTCAGCCAAAAAATTCCAAACAAATCTTGAATCGTCATGAACATAACCAGAATAAAGAGTAGAGAAACGTTCATCAAGGATAAACAATGAGTAAAGCAAAGCAGCGGCTTCAATAGACGATGAGTTTAGATTATCTGGTTCTAAAAAATATACAAATAATAAGAGAAGGCAGAACCAGCTATACAACAATTGCAATGAACAAAAATGGAAAAGGAAGAAAAGCAAGAAAAGAAAAGAACATAGCCAACTTACGAAAATCATCGAGATATCTGCGAGTTCTGTATCGAAGTCTTCTAATCCACCCAGATATCTGCGAGTTCTGTATGGACCAAACAAACTTGTCAAATAATCTGGTTTCAAACCATAAATTGAGGTACTTTCGTTTCTTATTTTGTGTTCTTTTTTCTTTTCTTCATTTGAAAAAAGAAAAAATATTAGAGAGAGAATAATAGTATCATCCAGTATGTTGTTGAAAACCTTTGTTAAAAATGCCATCAACGAAGATGGTGGTATCCCTGGATTTGTAGTACTAGCTGGTGAGACTTTTATTGTAACCGCTCAAGTCCACCGCTAGCAGATATTGTCTTCTTTGAGATTTTCCTTTTGGGGTTCCTCTCAAATTTTTTAAAACGCGTCTACTAGGGAAAGGTTTCCACACCTTTATAAAGAATGTTTCGTTCTCCTCTCCAACCGACATGGAATCTCACATTTATGTTCTCAAATGGAAGTGACTCTCGAGCAAGCTTCAAGGCATTCCATGTGTCATTCTTGGAAGATGGAACCTACAGAAGCAATATCTTACTACAATAACAGGTTGAAATAAAAACTTTCATCCAAACATGATTGTGTAATTACTCTATGCACCAAAAATTATAAAATAAAATACGAACTGACCTTCCCAATTTACAATGAGGAAGGTATAACTATAGGAAGCAAAAATGTTGGACGATTTACACCAATAAATAGTATGATAAAGGTAAATAACATTTTTGAAGAGCCTAGTATAAGTACATGTCTTCGCTGTGAATACTCCGTCTTCTTTTTTTTTTTTTCATAGATTCCAAAAAAAGTCATAATGAGATTTGTCGGACGGTATATAATGTCTAATAACTTCTTTACTTCCCTAGAAAAAAAGTGAGGTGTCATTTGAAAATAGAGATAAATAGAGATAATCTCCATCTGCATTAACAAGTTCTGTGATTTATGGTCTTTCTTGCATAAAGAGCACCAATTTCGAAATAGAGATAAATAAGAACGAAATCGAGTGATATAAAACAAGAAAAATTATTTATAAGAAATCGAGCAGAAAAATGAAAGAATGTATAAGTTCATACAAAAAAAATGCCCACAAAAAATGTCTCAAGTTCCACCACTAACTGCATAAACGGGCTTCAATCCAAAAGAATGAGACCGTACTAGTAATTAGAAAAAACCCAATTACTGGACACCCATAGAGGTGCATTCAGCCTAGCAACCTCCCAACCCATCTTATAACAAGAAATTTTCATGTGCATTTGCAAGCAAATCCAAATATTATTTTATTGACCAAAAGATATATAGCCAAATCCAAGACAAATACTCCTTTGAGCTTAATTTGTTTTCCCAAGGCTTAACATTATAGAAAATAGAGTAAGAAACATTTGACATGCAATTAAAGATCCAGTTTCTTCATCTTTTATCAAAGCCTGTGAATTTAAAGAGTTTTATTCAATGAAACCCAATCAATTTGAAGAAGGCTTTCTTAACATCTAATTTCAAGAGGAACCCTTTCCACTTTGTACATCTACAATGGTCAACAACCTTGTGATATGACATTGGCAACAACCTTGTGATATGACATTGGCAAGCTGCCTTTTGGCAATGAAGGCCAATTAACTCTTTCCAATGATGTAAGGGAGATCAAGTTCGAGTCTATTAGCGAGTACCTTGGCCGATATTTTATACAGGTCTGAGCGTACTCCAATGGATAGTGTTGATTCAGTTAGACATACTCTCTTCTTCTGTGGTTTGAATCTATGGCAATGGAGAAGGTATTTCGATCTATGGCGTACGATTGAAAGTTTGATTCGTTGTGAGGAAGAGGTAGGTCATGCTTGGATGGGTGGGGAGGGGAAGGGCAAGGGAGAAAAGATTGTGGGGAGAGAAATTTTCTGGAGAGAGAAAGAAGAGAGCGAGCCATTTTAAGAAGTTTGAGTAGAATACCGATATTATTTTCATTTGATTGTGAGAGGCAAATGCATACCTTCAAAGGTAAAACTTCTCATTATAAGTCCATCGCTAGCAGATATTGTCTGCTTTGGTCCGTTACGTATCGCTATTAGCATCACGGTTTTAAAACCCGTTTGTTAGAGAGAGGTTTCCACACCTTTATAAGAAATGTTTCATTCTCCTCTCCAACCGATGTGAAATTTCATGATCCACTCCCCTTAGGGCCAGCATCCTCGTTGGCATACCGCTCAATATCTGGCTCTGAACCATTTGTAATAACCCGAGGCCACTGTTAACCGATATTGTTTGCTTTGGCTCGTTACGTATCGTCGTCAACCTCACGGTTTTAAAACGCGTCTACTATGGAGAGGGTCTAGTCCTACTCCAACCAGTGCCTCACATCGTCCGGTGACTAGCTCTAACACCATTTGTAACAGCCCAAGTCCACCACTAGTGGATATTGTCTGCTTTGGCCCGCGTATCGCCGTCAGCCTTACGGTTTTAAAACATATCTGTTAGAGAGCAGTTTCCACACTCTTATAAGAAATGTTTCGTTCTCCTCTCCAACCGACGTGGGATCTCACAATTCTAGTCAAGCAAGTTTTGTGAAAGAAAGAGAAGCTTTTCAAAAGGCCAAAATTTCTTGCACATTTAGTGGCAAAAACAGCTTCTTCAAGGTAATGAGACCATGGCTGGTTTTAAACTATTTTAGAATTCAAACTCAGTTAGGACAAACCCCTGAAGTCGGTAGTAGCTCTAAATTACACCACAGATCTGCCCTAACAATTGCTTGGGTGACCAAACTCTTACCAGTTTCTAATCAAAAAGGCTGAGATTAAGTCAAAACTATCATATAGCTGATATGATATCAACCAACGATTAATAGTTCGGTGCTTAGCTTTACAAACTATGCAAAGAAAAGCGCAATTGAGGATTTTTTTATCTGAAAGCCATCACAAGTGGTGATAGATTTTAGTAAGAGAGATCCAAAGGTTCTTAATTATTATTCCATTCCAATCTTCTTTATTTTTTCCTCCATTCCAACAGAAGATTCCACTCATGGCTTTATCTCCTTCTTTTTGCCCTTTGTGTTTACAGCTTTGAAAAATCAAATTTATATCTTCTCTTGGCGTCCTTTCTCAAGATTTGCTGGTTTTCTTCATTCTCTATTTTCTATGTAAGACATGTTTTTGGTGAAGATGTTTGTGGCAATATATTTCAGATTCTTTGTTTTCCACTTCTTCCAATCACAACTAAGCTTATCCGAGTCAATGTTTCAAAAGGTGAAAATGTTTTGTTCCTCTCTCTAACCGATGTGGGCTCTCCAAATGCTGTGGGATCTCACAATCCACCCCCCTTGGGGTCCCAACAGGGAGAGGCTTCCACACCTTTATAAGGAATGCTTTGTTCCCCTATCCAACCGATGTGAAATTTCACAATCCACCCTTGTGGGGTCCCAGCAGGGAGAGATTTCCACTTTATAAGGAATGTTTCGTTCCCCTCTCCAATCAATGTGGTCTCCACACCTTAGGGCTCTCCAACCATTGTGGGATCTCACAATTCACCCCCCTTGGGGTCCCAGCATGGAAAGATTTCCACACCTTTATAAGGAACGCTTCGTTCCCCTCTTCAACCGATGTGGTATCTCATGATGCACCCCCCTTGGAGTCTCAGAAGGGAGAAGTTTCCACACATTTATAAGGAATGTTTCATTCCCCTCTCCAATCAACGTGGGATCTCGCTATCCACCCCCCTTGGGGTCCCAATAGGGATAGGTTTCCACACCCTTATAAGGAATACTTTGTTCCACTCTCCAACTGATGTGGGATCTCACAATCCTCCTCTTGGGGTCCCAACATGGAGAGGTTTCCACACCCTTATAAGAAATGCTTCGTTCTACTCTCCAACCGATGTAAAATCTCACAATCCATCCCTCTTGGGGCCCAACATCCTCGTTGGCACACCGCTCGATGTCTGGCTCTGATACCATTTGTAACAACTCAAACCTACCGCTAACAGATATTGTCCTCTTTGGGCTTTCCCTTTTGGATTTTCCCTCAAGGTTTTAAAATGCATCTTCTAAGGAGGGGTTTCTACACCTTTATAAGGAATGTTTCGTTCTCCTCTCCAACCGGGATCTCCAACCAACGTGGGATCTCACATGTATAAGATGTTTTTCGAACAGTTTATGCAAATGAATTAATAAAATAAAAAAGTTATTACATGGATGGCATTACTGAAACTGTCAATCAAACAATGGGAACAGCAACATCTAAAAATGTGCTTCCAACCTTCTGCCTCTTAATAGGGAGTTTGGGGAGCTCGGGAGAGAGGCTTCAAAAGGGAATGTCGTATGAAACAGAGAATAAGCTTCGCGGGGACGGACCAGTGTCTCCATTGGTTAAAAACGAATTACGTATATGCAATAAAAAGTTTAGGGGAGGCAAAAAAAAACCAACATCCAAGCATACACAGCACGTACAACAAAACATTCGGTGGTGAAAAAAAAAATTGAACATAAAGTAGCAAAACGGCGTCTAATTGCTTCAAACAATGTACCCGCTACCAACTAACCATGCAGAATAAGAATCGGAAGTAATCCAAATGCATTAGTAACATTACTTAAACACGTCAAGACTGATCGGCATTCGTAGTCAACGAGCAATAAGAAAACATTGAAACAAAAAATTGATAGCCCCTTCTCTTTTAACATACCTGATGAAGAGAGGCGAAGAAAATTAACGAACAGAAGGAGGTAAAGAATGTGGGAAGACATGGATGCGGATTTGGCTGTTCTTTCTCTCAAATCGCTGTCCGTCGGAGCGTTCTTGGGGATTGCAACTCTGCGCAGAGTGAAGGTGAATAGGTCCCTCATCCCTAAAATGGATCAACCCAAATCCAAATCCAAATCCAAATCCACCCATAGTCGTGTTAGCTTTCCCTTTTGAACTTTCTCTCAAAAGCTTTAAAAAGTTTAATCTTCTTTGGGCTTTTCCTTTCGGACTTTCCCTCAACACTTAAAAAGTTTAGTACAGCATTCCACCCAACAAGACGGATGGGCAAATTGAACCCTTAATCTGGAGGACATGTTACGGGCCTGTATATTGGACTTTGCCGGTAGCTAGGATACACACTTGCATCTCATAGAGTTTGCTTATAACAACGGTTATCAAGCGACGTTAGGTATGACACCTTTTGAGGCCTTATACGGGAAGAAGTGTCGATAATCAGTGTGTTGGGATAAGTAGGAGAATGCAAGTTGTTGGACCCGACTTAGTGCAAGCAACCATGCCCCCACATTGGTTGAAGAGTTGAACAAAGCACTCTTTATAGAGTGTGGAAACCTTCCTCTAGCAAACGCCGTGAGGGGAAGCCCGAAAGGAAAAGCCCAAAACAGACAATATCTGCTAGCGGTGGATCTTGGTCGTTACACTAAAGATTCGACGTCGAGTTGGGAAATTGAACTGAAAATTGGCCTTCGGACATGGAAAAAAACTAGGTTCCTTCTGCAAGGGGTGAGAAGGGGAACCGAGAAAACATTTAGTCTCTCGAATTAGAGTTAATTTCAAGGATTAATTAATTAATAAAAAAAAACTTTTAGTTTCAATATTATCTTTAATCTTAAAAAAAAAATTATTAATATCTGTCCATCACTTTTGTGATCTAAGTTTGCTACCATATGACACATACGTGTGCCATAATATAGATGAGAGTTGTCGACGAGTGTCTTAGACGTTCTTCTTCGAAAATAGATTTTCAAAGACGGCATCGGATTGCACAGGTTGTACCAACATTGCGCCCCAACCCATATGTCGGAGGTTGATAAATGCACTTACTATTTGATACGATAGCCATAAGTGATTCGCCATGGACATTGAATGAATTTATGTCTAAGTAGAACTAGGATGAATGGATGTTCGATGCCTTGACAATATAGTCGATCATGAGATTAGTTCTCGATAAGCATGCCCGAACAAGTAGCAAGGTCTAATGACATTCCAAAACTTCGGATGACATTACGATACGTGCCCCATGTTGTTTAGAACCTAGGTGACAAAATGACAACGATATGAGATGCAATGCTGCATATGAAAGACTTTGGGCTATAGCAGAGACAAGGTCAAACATAAGAACTTAACTAATAAAAAATGATAATTGAACATACATGCACGGACATGTGTGGCTAAACATATTTAGATCCTGCATGAGTTGCGTTTGGTTGGTGGACGAAAACCTAGCATAAAGTCCGACAAAGACACAAAGCTCGACGAAAAATGTAAACATAGTTTGAGTTTCTGTTAAGGCTTGTCATGAGCGTATCAAGGCGCACAATTGAAAAGGTACTACGGCAACACGAAGAGAAGAGGAATGTGAAATTTCTGTCCCCAATTGAGATCACAATGAAGCACTAATTGAAATCGGAATAAGGATTCACTTAAAAGAGAAATCTTTTAAAGAATTTTTCTATATATATTTTTAAAAAAATCTATTAATTTTAAAGAAATTTTAAATAATTTCTATTGAAAAAATGCAACCAATCTTAATAATTTTAAAAATATTTTGTAGGGAAAGAAAATAGTATAATGGGGGAATATAATTTATAAAAAGCTAAATTTCAACATTACAAATATTTATTCATTTACATACATACATACATACATATATATACATATACATATACATATACATACATACATACATACATACATACATACATATACATACATATACATACATATACATACATATACATACATATACATACATATACATACATATACATATACATACATATACATATATAAAAGCCCCGCTTGGAGTTTCTCTCTCTAAAATTATTGGTAAACGAGTATCGAGTTTAAATTTTTTGTCGGGTGATTTACTGAATCAAAAAAGAAGAACAAAGAATGGGGCATGAGGTTTGAGGCATATTTCGCTATGAACTAGGTCTGCAAGGAGGAAGAAAGAAGACCAAATGGATGCTCAAGCCAAGAGGAAAGCATTGTTTCGTGCTAAATTGAACGCCCAGAAGAAGGAAAAGCGCATCGATTCTCCTCTTGTCAGGTAAATATCGATGAATATGGGAGCTTCAAGGTTCTTCACGGATTTCTCCTATCTACTTCGTTTTTCTCTGCTCCTATTTCCGATTTTGATTTGTGTACTGCAGTAGACTATTCGGCTAATCGCAGGTGGAAGTTATCAATAGGAAATTATGCTCTCATGGAATAGTTCGCATTAATTTTGCATTTAGCTCAGTACGCGTGTAGTTTTCTTTTCCGTTAGTAGATCGGACTATTTTTCTCTCTATTTTCTTTACATAAGGATGTCGTAGGAATGTATGGCAGTGGCACATAACTCCAGATATAATTTAACCGATTGATATTGGGGAAGATTGTATGATTGTTAATCGTCGTGGCTTATTCAGCTGTTTTTCCCTTTCGAAAATTATAGAGTTTAAGATTCATCGTTTAATATTTTAAAATGCACGAACAGGTACAATGAATTGGACCAACCTGTTTGTAGGGTTTGCGACATTGTATTGAAATCAGAGGCTTACTGGGATGCTCACCTGTCTTCTCGCAGACATCATGAGGTGATGCTTTACCAGATCAAATCTTATTAAAATATATTACGCATGGGCACGCTGGTTTTTCTACATTGAAAAAATGAGTTTCTCTTGCTTGTTATTTGAAAAACAACGTTTAACAGGTAAACTTTTATTTCGGATTTTACTGATGAATGATTGGATATTTAGTTGACTCAACTCTCAAGCCGATGAATGATCGCTTCACCTACCCTTTTTTTTTTCTTTTTAAACAAATATTGGTAACTGAGAAATGTTTTTAAGGACGAAGTTGAGGTATCCCCACAAGGAAAATGGGGTATATATGGGATTCCTAGTTATCGGAGATATGCATAACCTCATAATAACCGAATATTCTGAGAGTGAGCACCAAATGAGATTCTATCCCTTTGAAAATCCTATATTTCTTTCAAAGATAGATATTTTGTGGTAAACCCTTTTGGGAGAAAGACAATTTTTTTATGGCAAGCTAGCTTATTTGCTATTTTATGGTGCGTTTGGTTGGAGAGAAACGATAAGATTTTTAGATAGGTGTAGCAGTCATGTGTTGAGGTTTGGAAGATGGAACAGTCATTACTTCAGACCACACAACTCTATATAGCCTGTTGAAAGGAGATCCTATTCTGAGCTGGATGAATGCAGCCTTGCTGATGCTATAAAGCCTAGACCAATGAGGAGATTGGTAGATCAGGTGGAAATAGTTCTCCAAATGTCTTTTGCACATGATGGCCTGGTACGGAAAAGGTGGAGGAAAACTTTCACTGAAGGAACTTTCACCTTCCAAACAGTTTTGATGATGGAGGAATTAAAAGGAGCTTGCTTTGTTGAAAGTTGGGAACAAGAGAAATCACAATAAGGTGATCACGGTTGTTAAGGGTTCATTGTTTAGAACACCCATGAGAAGCTCTAGAAAAAGTCTGCACTGGGCACGTTCTCTGTATGCATGTTATCTCTATCTCAAAGAAGGTAAATCTTTAGACCACTTATTTTCCATTGCTCTTTTTCCTCCAAAGGACCGACCTTCCTTCTTAAGGCGTTCGATTGTCAGTTTGTATGCTGATTGGCTTCTCAAGGTGCTAAATGGTTGGTTCTCGAAGGGAAAGGCTTAGATCTTATGTAATTGTGTAGCTAGGCGGCATTTGTAATGCGTATGGTTGGAAAGGCACTAGAAAGCGTTTGAAGACAAAGTGTTTTCTTTTGGACGGGACTTCCCTTTGTAGTTTGTGGGAATTCTTTTGTTTATTTGTTTTTTTGGTATGTCCTTTATATTTTCTTTCATATTTCTCAATGATAGCTTGATTTCCTATTGGAGGAAGGCAAATAATCTCAACTTTATTCTTTGAAGTTGTGATCTTACTTCTATAGTTTGGAGTCGATTTTTTTAGGGACTGTAGATAAAAGAGACTAATGACAAAAAGCTTTCCGATCAAGAAGAATCATAGATAAGGGAAGTTACAAATGAATTTGCTGCTGCTGTGACACCACCAAGAAGATAAAAACGGAAAATCCATCAGGGTTCTTTAAAAAATAATTGAGGGTGGAATATTGTTCTTCTACCAGACTATTGTTTTTTTGTGCTGTTAGAACGTAGAAGTACACGAGTCCCTTTCTCAAAGCTTCATTATTATTTTTGTTCTTCACACTATACGATGAATGCTCATATGGATGTTTTCTCTTTTACTTGTTTATTTATTTATTTTTGCTTACCCTTGTTTCCATTTTGTTTTCTCTACTAGCTCTTGATAGGGAACATAAAGTTTTAAATCCTAATCCAACCAAATTTGAGCTGATTTCTGGTTGACTTATTACTGATGGGAAGTTATTGTAAATAACAGGCAATAAATAATCTCAAAGCTAATGCAGCAGGCAGGTCTGGAGTTAACGATATTAAAGCTGCGGCTCCTGCCGAACTCCCTAAAAGCAGACCAATAGATTTGAAAGAGCAGAAAGCAGTGACTGGGACATCGACAGAGTTCCCAAAACGTCAATCATCATCTGTGCTTCCTTCAGATTTTTTTGACCAGAATGTCAAAAGGCTTAAAACTGGTAAGGAAATAGGCATGCTCGAGATTCTTATTATGCATGTATCTGAGTATAGATATGGTATTCTGAAAACTTTAGATGTATGAACATATATTATTATATAATCATCTATAAGATGCATGGTTGTGTATAAATTTTATTTATTTATATGCAGCTACAATATGTATTTTTATGTATGCATATGATAGTATAGGTGTCACTTTTATCATGGTTAAATAAAACTTGCTGAGTTGGGATCCATCTCAACATGTAATGAGATGGGAATGACACATGGTATGAAACATATGTGGGATAAGAGTTACTCTGACGTTACTTGGACCGTAGAGGTTGGGTGAGATACAAGCAAATCGGCTTTTGACTTGGTGACATGGTTGAGTCATCATTGACTTTAGCAGTACCTTGTGCGCCTCAAGGAAAGAAAGTGATGACTTCTTAACTTCGTTTCACCCTTTATTGAATTTAGTTTTCCATTGTAGTTGTAATTTTATTTGTCATAACTATCCCTTTTTGTTTTGAATGTAGACAATCGTTGTATTGATACAGCAAAAAGCTAGTCCGTTCCAACAGAAGATCCAACCAAAAGCACAAACTTCTTTTTGATACAAATCCAGTGGCCATCCTAAACCAAAGTCTGAAACCTCATGAACTTCCCAAATACAATCACACTCTCCCAATATAATCCAACTAAACCCTTACATAAAGCTTATTTTCACCTAGACAAATTTTCAATAAAAAGTTTCTCTGTGGATGTGCTTGCTATTTTGTATTTTGCTTTTTCTTTTTCACTCCATTTGATAGTCTGTATTCCTTGAACATTTTTTCATTTTCATTATATCATTGAGAAATTGTTTCTTGTTCAAAACAGAGAAGCTTCCATCTGGCTCCAATGACCAATACTAAAACCACCCGCAACACAAACTCCTCTCCTTCGAACAAATTAATTCTTGTAATAATATTCCAACTATTTATTCTTCAGTATCGAAGATTTGTTAAAAGAGATAACATAAGGACTAGGGATGAGAGATCCCCCTCCCAAGAAGACTACTTACAAAAAGACCTTCCAATTCCAGACATAAACCCCATAAAAGAGCACTTGAAGCAAACATCCAAAACTATCCCAGTTCGTGAGGTGAGGGAGCTTTCTGTTGCCCCCTCTTTTGTTAAGAAGCTGTTGGTAGAAACTCACAAATGCTGTCTTCTATGTCTCTATTGTTCAATAGGCTAATCCCATCTTTAGAAATAACTTCTACTATGGTGTTCTTTCTTTTCTTAGCAGCTATGATTCTATGGAAATGACCAGAAATTCATCTCCATTAGTCATCCATATCGATGTGGTCTAGCATTGTCTCACTTTTCAACATGTCTAATTTGATTTGTGTTCTTCCAGGAAAGGATGCTGAACCTGATTTACGCAGTGGTAGCATTGCACAGTCAGAGGTGATTGCAAAGGCCAGTGACCTTGGTAAGAAATCTTCTGTGAATGTTGGTTCAGAGGGGAAGCAAATAAAGGGAGCTCTGCCCGAAGGTTTCTTTGATGACAAAGAGGCTGATTTGCGTGCACATGGCATAAAACTTGTTAAGCCTGATGTCAAGTAGGTTCTTCCCACTTGTTATGAACTTTGTGTTTTTAATTCGGTATCTCAAGTGTTTCTAATCCTTTTATCACATGTAACAATTCTATCATGTTTCCTTGCTTGAAGGTAGGTGTTTTCATATTATCCTTAATATATTTAATTTGGTTTTATTTCTTATTGTTCCTATATTTATTTGGCTGTAAATGCCAACCAGAGAGAATATTGGGAAATAGTTAACTGATGATGGCTGTGTCGTTAGTAATTCTCTATCTTGCTTCTGTTCGACATTTCCTGGTGTTTGCACTGATTTTGCATTTTCCAATAAACATCTATTTTCTTCAATATTGCTGTGGAGTCTCTGACCATTGATTGTGCCACTTAATATTATTGACTAGGTCGCAGAATTGTATGGTGTATCATTTATGTTGACTCCCATTTAATTCTTACTACTTTTCCTTAAATATATGTATCTCTACTTCCACATATATCAGAGAACTGACAGCAACGATAGTGATGAAAACTGCAAATGGGGTTTTGCCTGTTGATTGTCTAAGAAATGATCTTATATGAACCTATGGAAAAAATGAGCAACATTCTTGTTCAGCATTAATATATTGTTGTTGTGCATGCTCTTTTACTCCTTATAATCTATGGCATGGGATTCCATAGGAGCTTGACTGTGTGTGCTTCATTATCAGAGATGAATACAAGGAATTTGAAAAGTTGATCCAAGAAGATTTGCAAGAGGTGGATAACCGTTTGGAAGAGGAGGAGGTAATGCCCAACTTGTATCCTTTCTCTGTCAATTAGTTGATTGAGGGTATTAGCTTGGAGTTATTATACATTTTGTTGCTTAATGTACTACAGATTGATGCTGCCGAAATGATAGAGGAAGCCGAAACCTTAGAGCAGAAGTAAGTGAAGCACGTTAATTCCCGTGCCTTGTTCTTCTAATCTTCATTCCTGATTGCACCAAACTTTCTGGATTTCTGTTGACAGGGCCTACAGGGAGAGAGTAGAAAGGTTGAAGAGGAAGAAAATGGAGTTAAAGACCAAAAAATCAGTAGAACAAAGTAGAGCGGAGCCTGAAATTCCTACTAAAGAGTCTAGCCTTGACGATTCGAGTGATGATGATAGTGACACAAATTATACAGTAGATTGGAGAGCTCAACACTTGTGATAGTAAGTTGATTCTAAATTTTTGATATCCTATAAGATGGGGAGAGAAGGAAGTGAATCATGTGATAATGTAGATATTGATTTGCTGTTCAACCACATCGTAGCTTGGGATGAGTTATCAACTCTTGTTGCATATCAGGAAGGCTTAAAGCCGAAAATTTCTAGTGATGTTTTAGGATTTTTGAAAGTGGCCTATCAATGGGAATAAGAGTTTGCATCTCTCTTCCTTGGTATTTAAGAGTTACTACTTGTTTGATTCATTTTAAGATCGTATTAATCATTCTTAATCAGTGGTAAACGGTCTCTTTCTTGTTGTGCACTCGCATTTTAGTACAACTTTATTAAGGTGAATTGTTTTTAAGATTTCATTATCGAACTAACAACTGAACTCATAGCTCTTATTATTATTATATACAAGTGTACTTCAAATATTGGCGTGTGGACATGCATCAATGAAATAGGGATAGAAGGAGGAACCAATTTCGAGCACAAAACATAGAGATAAACAAACTTCAACGTACTGTAGATAAGCATAACCATGCGCTAAATATATGTTTCAACTTCTTACTAACCCGATGAACATGACATGCTAATGCCTTTTAGATTATATGTTTTATCTTTTAAGTTCAATAATTGTAGAGCAGGAGATCGAACCACTGACTTTTGAAATGGTAATTAACATCTTTAACAATTAAACCGCTCGGGACATTAGTCATGTGGGCTTGAAGAACACTTTTATTAGGAAGGGCTTGAAGAACACTTTTGTTAGGAAGGGAAGAAAAAAAGTGTTTTTGGGGAAAGAAAATATGGTGGGAAATTTGAAAGCATGAGAGTATAAAATGAGAGAATTAGAAGTATGCCATTTTCAGTCACTGCTCGCTGGTGAAATTATGTTCTTCCTCTAATGGCGCTCGCCGGCCTCATCGAATCACATCCATGGCCGCCAATTCCACATTCAAACTCTCCAATTTCTCCAATTCCCTCCCCTCCAAACCTTCCTTCCGCTACTCCACATGGCACTCCCCACTGCCTCCGGCGGCGGCAGCTGATCCTGTACTCGCCGCCGTCTCCACAGCCATCAACAACGTCGAAACAAAGCCTCTCGCCTCTTCTCTTCGGCGGCTCCTCCCTTCCTTCAAACCCCACCATTTCATCGACCTCATTAACCATAACCCCTTCTCTCTCTCCCCTGTCTCTCTCTTCTCCTTCTTCAATTGGCTCTCTTCTGTCCCCACCTTTCGCCACACTCTCCAATCCTACTGCGCTATGGCTAATTTCCTCTGCGTCCATCAAATGTTCGAAGAATCACAATCGATCGTCCGATTTCTCGTCTCCCGCAAAGGTAAGGACTCGGCGGCTTCGATCTTCGCCGCGATTCTTGAAATTACAGATACGCGTTGTTCGAATTTTGTATTTGATGCTTTGATGATTGCGTATTCGGATTCTGGGTTCATCTCCGATGCGATTCAGTGTTTCAGGTTGGTCAGGAAGAGAAATTTTCAAATCCCGTTTCGTGGATGTGAGTACTTACTTGATAAAATGATGAATTCAAACTCCCCTGTTACGATTTGGACGTTTTATCTGGAAATTTTGGATTCTGGGTTCCCACCTAAAGTAAAGTATTTCAACATTTTGATTAATAAGTTCTGTAAACAGGGAAGCATTAGAGATGCCAGGTTGATCTTCGATGAAATTGGGAAGAGGGGTTTTCGTCCCACAGCTGTTAGTTTCAATACCTTGATTAATGGGCTCTGTAAATCCCGAAATTTAGATGAGTGTTTTAGGTTGAAGAAAGCCATGGAAGAGAATAGAATACATCCTGATGTTTACACTTACAGTGTTCTGATTCATGGGTTATGCAAGCAAGGTAAGGTAGATGATGCAGAACAACTGTTCGACGAAATGCGTCAGAGAGGATTGAGGGCAAACGACGTTACATTCACTGCTTTGATTGATGGGCAATGCAGGAGCGGACGAATTGACTCAGCCATGAACACTTATCAGCAAATGTTAGCCATGGGAGTGAAACCAGATTTAGTTATGTATAACACACTCATAAATGGCCTCTGCAAAGTTGGGGATGTTAGTAAAGCTAGGAAGCTAGTTGATGAAATGAAAATGGTGAGGATGAAACCAGATAAAATCACTTACACAACACTCATAGATGGTTACTGCAAAGAGGGAGATATAGAATCAGCCATGGAGATTAGGAAAGGGATGAATGAAGAAGGGGTTGTTCTTGATAATGTAGCATTCACAGCCATTATCTCAGGTTTGTGTAGAGATGGAAGGGTGATGGATGCAGAGAGGACCTTGAGGGAGATGAAGGAAGCTGGGATGAAACCCGACGACGCGACGTATACTATGGTGATCGACGGGTATTGCAAGAACGGCGATGTTAAGACGGGGTTTAAGCTGCTGAAAGAGATGCAGAGAAATGGGCATAATCCTGGTGTGATAACTTACAATGTGCTTATGAATGGGCTTTGCAAGCAAGGACAGATGAAGAATGCCAATATGCTGTTGGAAGCAATGCTTAACTTAGGAGTAACTCCTGATGATATTACATACAATATTCTGTTGGAAGGGCACTGTAAGAGTGGAAGAGCTGAAGATTTCCTTCACCTCAGAAATGAGAAAGGGCTCGTAGTAGACTACGCGTATTATACTTCTTTAGTCGGTGAATACGATAAATCATTAAAGGATCGTCGAAAGAGGTAATGAAGGTATGTTGCGGAATTCAAACTTGTCTTTCGGTTGATCATTGCATTACTTACTTCTCTATATAGAAAGTTAGCACGATGGAGATATCTAAATGTGTCTGCTCGACTAGAATCAAACACGTTATGTACCTGCATCTTTCTCTTTCAAGTATAGATCAGTTAAGGCGTTATGTACCTGCATCTTTCTCTTTCAAGTATAGATCAGTTAAGGCGTTATGTACCTGCATCTTTCTCTTTCAAGTATAGATCAGTTAAGCAGTATGTGATCAAATTGCATAGCATCGTACCGTAATTAGCAGTTAAGAATATGAATGAAATTCAACGGCATAAAGGTAAAGACAATTTTATATGTTTAAAAATCATACTCTAGTCCACAAATTTTGAAAAATGGTTCAATACAATTATTGAGAATAAATTATAATGAGCGTCTTTAACATAAAAATATTTTCACCAATCTAATCGCTAAGTTATATGTCACGTCATTTTTCTCTTAAACAAATCTCGAGGATAATATAGAATCATTTTTCAAAAGTTGTTTTAGTTTTTAATTTTTGAAAATCAAGCTTCTAAACACTATCTCTACACGTGATTTCTTTGTTCTCTTATCTACTTTTTAGGAATGTTTTTGAAAACCTCGCCCAAACTTAAAAAATACATTTTACTTCTTTCGTTTTTAAACTTACAACTCGACCAAAATCGATCCAAATCAGTTGGCAAAGATAGTTTGGAGATATGAAGTCAATTTAGTTCGACTAGTTCGGTTTTTTCGATAGTAGCTTCCTACCAAAGCCAATTCGACTCGGTTGGCAAAGATAGTTTAGAGATATGAAGCGGGTTTGGTTCGATCGGTTTGACTTTGGGTTTGCAGCTGTAATATGGAAGGGGAGGGGGAAAAGTCGTTGCAGCTTCCCTCCAAAACCTGGAAATAAAGTGGGCGAGCACTAAAGGGCAAAGCCGAAAGGAAGAGGCAACAAACAGGCTGTCATGACACTCATTTGGGGACCAAAACTAAAAGAAATGTGCACTGTTTAGAGACATATTTCAAACAAGACGGCGAAGTCTTCCCATTTTCATACCCATTACCCTACAAATTCAAACAACCCCAAAACCCTCTTCTTTTTACCCTACTTGCTTTTTTTGGGGAATGTGTCCCAATCCTAAAAAAAAAATATCTTCTATATCCATATCTATATATACCCGAGCAAACGAGAGGTGCATGAATGAACTAATACCACCTTTAAATGAGAGCCATCTTGAGATAAAATGACTAAGTTATTACTTGTACCAACAAGATGCACTTTCTTTTTCGGTGGTTCAATCGTACAAACTCCATGATTACTGTGTTTTACTTTGAGTAATTCTATACTGGGTGATCTTTTTCTAGGATGCACGTGAATGAAGACAAAAAATGTTGGAAAGACATGTTTTGTTCGGTAGGAATATTATTCACTCTTAAGAAACGAAGAACGTAGGTAATGTGACTATGTTATAGGGGATGCAAAGGAATATCGAGGTCATCATATCTAACTTAACATATTCTACACACCATCAATTATCCCACTTTTTGAACGATGACAAATCAAGAAGAACAATTGTCTGGCGCTCTATTTAACCAAACACAAAAATAACTATTATCAAGAATATTCCTCCTAAAAAAAAAAAATAATAATAATAATAGATTCGTCACTCAATTGAAATTTAAAGGTGAATTAAAATGAGAGATTAAAAGTGGAAATTTGAAAGGACATAGAATAATATTAACCTGTAACGCAATACACAGTGTTGGTCGAGTTGTTCGTTGGTTGGTTGGATTCTCCAGAACCACTTTCCCTGTCGTTGTCGCTGTCGCTGCTTACCCATCCTCACCCATTTTCCAGCTGCCCTTCCATACAATCCATTTAATTTTCTTCTACTTCATCATCAAATTCACATTTAATTATTGTTTTAGATGCGCTCCATCCTATGTCAATACATATACCAATGATGTGACTCGATCTGTCATCGACTAAGGATTCGAGTTTCATTATATTGTTAAGGAAGAAGTGGTCTTCACCGAACGATTTCATATTATATCTGCTTTAGGTATAAGATACGTGATTTTGTTCAGTAGAAATAGTTGTTTGTACTGTTCGAGTTTTCGACTTCATACACCTTCATTCACAATCTTCGTTCTAACTCGAATATGGACGTAATATCTTAATCCAATACAAACTAAAAACATTATATAAATAATTAAAAAAAAAAAAAACATTGTCCACCCTCTGTCTCTATGATATTTTAAAATTTTAAAAAATAAAAATTTATAAATATTTCGAAGTGAATTTTGTCGCTTGCTATAAACTTTCCTCGCTTCAATCTTGTTCTTATATTGTCCCGATTCCTCTGGATCATCTCACTCATGGTAATTCTTTTGACCACGGTAAAAGTAAGAGTAAAAAAAAGAAGTAACTTTGTTTTTTTGTTTTAATCCACGAAAAAATTGATGCATAAATAGAAACACATAACACTTTAAAAAAGTAAATAAAAAACCTAAAAAGAAGTGAATGGAAGGAAATATGTTAGGAAGTGCCACGTGTCAAACGTAAACATGGAGCAAGAACCCCAACATATCTAATCATGTGTGTGTCGGGAATAATTCAAGTTAATGGTTTATTAATTTATTATTTTTTTAAATATATCTATTAATTTTTATTATTTTTTAATTCTTTTGTGGGATTTGTTTAGGTCGGCAGATAGGATCAGAATTAATTTTGAACACTAAGATGTCTTTTGCTTCCCACCCAAATTAAATCATATTGTTCATTAATAAACCTTATATTATAACCTTATTATGTCTAATTAAATCATATTTTTCATTAATAAACCTTATATTATAACCTTATTATAAGTAGTCTGAGGAACAAATTTTTGTTATATTATATGAAGTATGAAACTATACACACATATTTATATACACACAACTCAATAAAATATGATGATTATACAAGCATCTTCTAGAACCCTCCACAAACCCTAACACGTGTAGAAATCTCCATCGTCCATCATCACTTCAATCTGCTACAGTCGGCTCCACCAAAACCTATTCTCCTATTGGCCAAATCATATTCTATCCACGTGTTCTTCTGATGGACGGTTCCGATTATGTTACTCGCAATTCCAAGCCTTCCCGACCGTCCAAACCCCACACACTTCACTCCTTTTTCCACTTCCGTCAAAACCCCCTCTCCTTTCCCCACCGAAATCTCCACCCCATTCTCAAACTCGAACGACATGTCGCGAATCCTCCGACCCACCTCCGCCGTCTCGCCGTCGTTGAAACACATGTCGGCCACGGCGGCGTATTCGTACCCTTTCTTCATTAAGGGCCCCACTAATTTGACTATCTCTTCTTTAACCTTCTCGTACGCTTCGTCCACTAGGTAAGTGAGGTCCGAACCGGAGTCAATCATGGTTTGACCGGACCCACTCCTGTCCGGTTTGAAAACGGCCGATGAGATATTGAGACGGTTCCCGGCTATTTTTATGCCCTTCAATGGGAGGGTGTACGCCAGTGGATCGAGATTCGGGGAGCGTTGACTTTTGGGGAAAGTCAACAAGGATATATATTTGAAATTGGCAGAATTCGGGTTGTCTCCAAGGTAGAACAACCCGGTTGAATCCGGTCCAGTTCGACCGGGAACGCAGTAGGAGAATTTGGAGATTTTAGCTTGGGAGACGAAGGAGAGACGTCCAGTATTCATTCCCAAAATACCCCTGTTTTCAGTGGAGGCTTGAGCACAGCCAAGGATGACAGGAGGGGTAGTACGGGAATTTGAGAAGGTGAATTTTTCTCTTACGAGATTACCCTCAGCCAAGGTACCATCAGCGTAGAAGTAGGAGTAGTGACAGAGGCGATTTTGGTCACAAGAAGTGGGAAGGGTAAAATCAGGAATTCTGGGTTTGCAGAGAGGATGATTACAAGGGAGGAGAGAGAAAGAGGAGGAGAGAGAAGGGTCGAACGACGTCGTTTTGGGCTTGAGCAATTTCTTATGAACTTTCCGGTGACATTGAATCCAAGAAAGCTGGCTGCCGGTGTCCAAAACCAAGTCCGTGGGCTGCGGCGGCGTTCCAATAGGAAGAGAAACGACAAGGGCGGTGGAGTATTTGAAGGGGAGCTTGACGGAGCCGTAGGCGGAGAGAGAAGAGAAGAGAGGAGAAACAGAGGAAGAAACAGGGGAGGGGCGTTTAGAGAGAGAAAGAGGGAAGGAGAGGGAGAGAGAATGGGAGTGGGAGAAGGAGAGAGAGAGTAGAGAGAGATAGAAGAGAGAGAGAAGCATGGTGGGTTTTTTGATGGGTTTTGGTGGGATTGGTGAAGTGCAGAGGTTGGGGAAGGATTACATATATATACATATATATATAGAGAGAGAGAGAACAGAGGAGAGGAGAGAGAAAGAGGAGAGGGTGGGCATAAAAGCACCAAAAAAGAAGGCCAAAAATGGGGAAAAGGAGAGACGCGTTTTCTTTGGAGACTTGTTAACATCTATTAGTTTACAGACACACATACTTTTATTTTATTTATTTATTTATTTATTTTTGGTAAAACAAATAATGTTTCTTCCATTAAATTCCATTAATTTACTTTTTTTAAATTTTATGAATTTAGTCCACTCAGTTTCAATAGATTTGTATTTAAGATTAATAATTTCGAATTAAAATTAAAATTTTAAGCATTTAAATAATAAATAAATAAAACGCTTTTAAAAGTTATAAAATTTTAAAATTTAAACTTGTCTTTTAATTTTTTATATACTAAAGTTTAATTATAAATTTTAATATTTAATTTTTTAGATTTTTTTCAAGTCGAGATTAGCATGGACTATGTTATTGAAACTAACCAAAATTTAAAAATTAAATTATTACTTTCAAATAAATTTATAGACTAAAAGTAATTTTTAATTATTGTTTTCGTAAATATATAATTTATTGCCATGCTAACCTACAAACATATAATTCAATTGATAGGGAATCGGGAGAATAATTGCACAGGCTAAGATTTAAGTGGGTTGAATTAAGG